TTGCCTGCTCCTTGGCTTTGTTGGGACAAAGACTTCGAGTATGTCCCTTCTGTTTGCAGTAATAGCACTCAAAATCCCGCCTTTGCTCGCTCAAATGCTTCCCCTGTGATGAACCCTGTTTCTTTGCCTGTGCCTTTTTCACTGTGTCCTTACCTTGCTCCTGCTTTTGTGCTTCCCTTCCTGCAGCCACCAAAACCTTGGCTTGGATCTTTTGTTTCTCCTCATCCCATCTCATGTAGACTTTCTGGGCTTCCCAAAGCAGTTCCTGCAATCCCTGTTCTTGCCACCTATCTATCTTTTCTAGCTTTTACGGAATAGCTTCCCAAGATTTCACCACTAACTGCGTTTTCAACAACACCATCCCCATCGGATAGTCAGGATCTGTTCCTGAATACATTCTCAGACCTATGCACAGTCTCTCCAGCCATTCCGTGGGGGTCTCACCTTTCCCCTGGCACTCTCAGAGTACCTTGCTCATGTTTTGTCCCTTTGGTACTACCTCCCAGATAACCTGAATGACCATATTGCTCAGATTTATCATTTTCTGCCTTCCCTTCTCCATCTGGGCTTCCCAATATGGTTTCTGATTTGGCCACCTTTCTTCCCCAGCTCCCCGTTAGGGTTTTTCTCTTTTCCCAATCTTTGATCGCGGCTTGCCTGATCATCTCTCTTTCTTCGTTGTTAAACAGCAACCTTAGAATCGCTTGGAGATCCTCATAGGAATATATGCTGGTTCCCAAATACTCATCCAACCTTTCTGCCACCCCCAAAGGATCATCCATCAATTTTCCCATCTCCCTTTTGAGCGCCCTCACGTCACTTTTGTCAATTGGGGTGTGTACGAACCCAATCACCCCCGGAGCTGTCAAAACTTCCCGTAAAGGGAAGATGCCGGACTTCTCTTCCTCATCCCCACTGTCCCCCGTGGTCATCCTCCTTGTCCACTGCCTCATCCGATGGGCCGGGGGAGAGATGTCCCTAGAGACAGTTGGTTACCCCTCTCTCCTCGGGTTTTGGAGAGACCTGCGGCAGCCGCCGCTTGGCCATGTGGGAAAGCGAATGCCACCTCCGGAGCCCTCTGAACCCTTGCCTCAAGAGGCATCTCGGGCACTGCTTGTGCCTGTGCAGGATTGGGCTGCTGCGGGGACACAAGTTAAGGGGGTGGAAGATTTTCCAACGGCTCCCATTCCTTTCCCGCTTTTGCTGTGCGCCGGAGAGCTTGTACCTGGTATAGACCTGTACAAACGTGTCTCCATATTTCAATATACTCAATTTCCTCAGAATCCTGCGGGCGGTGATCGAACACGTGATCGTACAAAGACTCCCAAGTCCAAGCTTCAAAGGTGCCGAAAAATCGGCCAAACCACGTATTTTTGATCTCCCTCCCTCCCCATTTTTCCATGCAAAAAAGGACCATTTTCTCCCTGGACTTACCCACCCCCCTGGGCTTTTGTCCCAGTGTTCTAACACCCATGCCATGGAACTATCTCTTGAGATTTCTGGTAGAATTTTCCCGGGACCCTGGGGAGGTTTTTCCTGGGTTTTTTTCTGAAGTCTGCTCTTTCCCAACTCCATTTTCTCAAGGATTTCTACAATTTTTCTTACCTTCTCTCCTTTCATTGGGACATCCATCAGAGGTCCCGTTTCTTTGTCCGATGTCGGTCTCTCTGGCTCACAAAAAGTCACCAGTCTGACTCAGTCAAGCAGAGTACTGTTCTACTGACTTTTTAGATTAACTTTTACCTGTTTCCTCCAGATCAGACGGCAGACGGGCTCCTAGAGTTTTCTAGGCTCGTCTCTTCCACCTCCTGACCCCAACTGTGACCGATTTTACCCCCAGACTCCCCCCGAGCCTCGGGTCTCGTGTGTCAGGCAAAACCTTCCGCTTCCCCCTTGATTGCCCGTGTCCCTCGCAGGATGGTGGAACAGCAATCGTGGGGTCGGCACTCACCCCGTGACAGAGTCACGTCTCTCACGCGCGTTCGGTCACGCTTCACTCAACCACACGATACTTTCGGTTCCTTTTCCCACGTGGATTTCTTTGTGCACATTGATTTTCCGAGTGAAAAAAAACCCCTTAGGCTTGGAGACCACTGGATCATTCCGAGTTTGCTGAGAATTGGGCCAATTTTATCCCCCTTGGCTGTGGCTCAGATTTCAGTTCTTGTGAATTTGATTGGTTTTTTGGACTCCAATCCTGCTCGGACCTCTGAAATAAGCGGAGTGCCTTCCAGGCAGGAAGGGGGTCCCAAACCCCAATATCAAATCACATCAGGTTGTCGCCAGATTGTTATAAATGATCAAATCGAGAGCCAAACTTATAAGAAAATTTAGCAAAGATTTATTAATTTGTCTGCAAGATCGAATTTCGGTTGTCAAAAACTACCACAGCCAAGGTCAGCATTGAGCCTGGGATTGGCGCTGGGTAAACACACTGATCTGAGCCCTGGAATGTCTCAGAGTCTCCCCCTGTTCACGAATGCTGCTTTGCACAGCGAGTTCTTATACAGTTTATTCTGCCCGAGGCAGAGATGACCGAATGCTCGTGGTGTCTCTTCACGTGCATAACCGAGGGTTTACATGGGCAGAGGTAGACAAAGATCCAGTCCAGGTGTTGAGATGTTGTCAGAGAACTTTGGAGAATTCAGCATTCACATGCATCAGGGTGGCATCGTGGTAGATGGAATCGTCGAGGCAATAACCACTCTTGAGTGGTCATGGTGGCCCGGGAAAGCTGGCAATTATCACCCTGGAAGCTTCTATTCTTGCATTAATGAACCCGATGTTATCTCAACAAAGTCTGGGAACTAGATATATATGAATGAGACACTGCTCCCGGCCAGGAGTCTAAACATAGTTTGGACTTACAATATTTTATACATGAACAGGATGAATTATCTCTACCATATACTACACCAGGAAAAGCCCTTGCAGCCCCAAAAGATAGGGAATGGAGTGTTCCCCACCAGCATGGTGCTCTGTGTAGAGAATGAAACCCTCTTGGAATGGGAGCCCCTGCATATGCTGGGAAAGATGCCCCTGTCCAGGGTCCTGTGGAGGGAGGAGCTTTGCCCCTTGTCCCCTGCCCATGGCAGTCTCCTTTCCCTCACCACCTGCCCTGGCCTGCCAGGCCAGGAGTACCGGATGTACAACGCTATGATGTCCATTTCTACGCCTCCTTCGCTCTCATCATGCTGTGGCCCAAGCTGCAGATCAGCCTGCAGTATGACATTGGTGAGTGTCCCCAGAGCCCTGCCTTGCTGCCTGCTCAGGCCTTCACCTGGGGAAGAGACAGAGCCTTGGGCACAGCTGCTGCTGCTGCAGAGATGTGTGCCTTGGAGCCAGCATCCCCCTGCAGCTGCCCTGCTGTGCCCAGCACTTGCAGCCCTGGACTGTTGCTGCCCCAGCAGCTCTGTGCCCAGCACTGGGGATGCCTTCTTTCCATGCTGGGGGTGCCCAGCTGGCTCTGCCTGCCCTGGGGGCGCCCCTGGTCTTCCCAGCTCTGTCCTTGCTTCTTGCAGAGTAGACTTGGAGCTGTTTGCAGACGCCCAGTGGGACATGGGCCACGGGCCATCACTCCAGGCTGAGCAGGGTCCTGCTGGCCTGCAGCAGCTGGGGTCCCAAGGAGCTCCATGTGATGAGTGGGCTGACAAAGAGGAGCCCAAACCAGGGAGGGTCACACAATGGCCTTCAGGGATAGGGGCAAGAGAGGCCACTACTGAGGAAAGGGCACAGGGGCACTGATTGGTGAAAGAGAGGAGACAGTGTGTGTTTGCAGAAAAGCTTTATTGAGAGAATAAAGATGTGAAGCAGGTGCAGAAGCAGGTGCTGAAGGAGGTGCTGAAGGAGGTGCTGAAGGAGGTGCTGAAGCAAGAGGATGGGCTACAACCAGGCACTTCATCTTCTCTGGGAGCTCCAATGGTACCAGCCCTCAATCCATCAGATCTTACTTGCGCCAGAATGTGTTGTAGCCAACCCTGAGGTGACAAAGACAGACGAAATATAAAAGTGGGATATGAGAGTGCCCCAGTGCCCACCCAGCCCTGTATCCTCCCAAAACATTTGCACCTTGTCAGGACACCCAGGCAAGCTGTGCACAAGCACCCTCTCCTCCCTCACTTTCACACTGGCAGCAGCTCTGCCAAATGCTGACTACCACAGGCTGGGAGCACCCCTCTTCATCCCCACCCTGGGCCATTCAGTATTTCTTCTTAGGCCTTGGGCTTTGGAAATGCCTCTCAAGTGGCGAAGCTTCCCTTGAGCTTGTCACATACACTTTGCACACCAAGTCCTTCTGCTGCCTTATCAAGGAAAACAATACTCCAAAAGCCTTTTGGAGTTACTTACCTGTATCACAGCCCAAGTGGAACAGTGTTATCATTACTGGAACTGTGAAAAATTCCTGTAGTTACCATCTCACACTACATCCAGGATGAAGACTGACTGATGACTAAGGTCAATCATCCCATGACTTGACCACAGCATTCCTAAGTGAGGCTTCTCAGTGCCAGCCTGGATCTAGAATTAAGTCACTGCCATAACTGCGGTAAACCCTCCCAAATCACCTTATCGATGTTGAATTAGTCAATGGTTAAGTGCAGCCATGACCTGCAGACAGAAACCATTGAGCAGTTCTGAGACTGAGAGCAGAACCAGCTGCAGCTCAGATCCATCAGTAGTTTAGAAAGCAGAGGGCACCTTCCTGAATTTCTGATTCATTTTAATGGTCTCACTTCTCCTTCTCCATCTCTTGCCTCCATGTAAATCATTCTACATTGCTTCTAACCCGTTTTTTCCTTCCAACGTTTCACCCCTGCACAAAGCAATCAAGCGAACCTTGCCACAGAGATTTGCTAAGTCCTGTTTTTGCAAACAGATATTAAAACTCCTTTTGCCAATGCCTGTGAGAGTGACTCCTAAATGACCAAAACCACTCATTTGTGACAGCCCCAACCCCTCAGGAGTGCACAGGGGATGTGTGCAGGGCAGGGATAGAGAGCTCACAAGGTGGATTTCCAGTCGTTTGCAAGATCCTCTGAGTGTAATCTCAGCAGCCACATGGTCTTCAAAACTTCCTTTCCATCCTTATCCACAAAGCACTGGCCCGTGAAAACAGTAATGGAGTCTGTGGGGACATGACAGGAGGTGGAGGGGAGCATGGCCGAGGTGGCAGGTCAGTGGCTGCTCCAGCACAGGGGACAGTAGACCCCTGCTGCTCCCGGCCTCTGAGCACAAAGGGGATGGGGAAAGCAGCAGGAGGGCTCACAGGGCTGGGGTGTCACACGGACATGGGCAGGCAGTGCAGGCTCCAGCCCCTGCTGCCCCTCCTGCAGCCTGGCACTGGGAGCTGGCAGCAACCGAGGAGCTCCAGGGGCAGGGATGGGGGAGCTGCAGGGAGGGAGAGCAGTGGGGANGGGCACCCTCTTTGGGGATGGTGTCAGGAGAGCGGCTGAGGCAACTGTCCTGCAGGAATACTGAAGGTTTGCATATTTGGAAGGTAACTCACAAGAATGTGAGGCATTCTCCAGCCTCAAGCCCTCCCATTACTGTAGCCATGTGTTTTGAACCTGCCATGAGGATGTTTTTCACACTCCAGTGTGTAGGGAGCAGTGCTATTCCCAGTGTTACAAATTATCAAATTGAGAGCCAAACTTCTAAGAAAATTCAGCAAAGATTTATTACTTTGTCTGCGAGACCAAATTTCGATCATCAGAAACCGCCACAGCCAAGCTCAGCGTTGAGCCTGGGATCGGCGCTGGGTGAACACACGGATCTGAGCCCCCAAATCTCAGAGTCTCCCCCATTCACGAATGCTGCTTCGTGCACTGTGTTCTTATACAGTTTATTCTGCCCGAGGCAGAGATTACCAAATGTTCTTTGTGTCTCTTCACATGCATAACTGAGGCTTTACATGTGCAGAGGTAGACAAAGATCCAGTCCAGGTGTTGAGATGTTGTCATAGAACTTTGGGGAAGTGAGCATTTGTCGAAGGAGGGAGACCAGGACACCAGATGGTCATCAACAGGTCCCGTTTATTGAAGAAAGCATCAAACACTTATACAGCAAGTAATAAGCTTATGAATATTCTGTAAGCCAAGCGATCTATTGGTTAAACTATACCATCAACTCTTCCTCATTCCTTTGGGCCTACGTTCTCTATTTCTTGCGTCTCTCTGTCCACTTGTTATCATACTCAGCTAGGCCCAAGGACACGCTATCTTGCAGGTGCAGGACTCGGAATTAGCCACAGCCTTGTACTTTTCCATTCTCTAGTCAGCTAAATTCCCAACAGACACCCTGCCTGCAAAAAGGGCCTCTGCCCTAGTTAGGACATCTTTACCAAATTGATTCGGTTGTGTCCCCTCTGCTCAAGCCACTCTTTGACAAAACTCTCTGCAAGCATTCACATGCATCAGGGTGGTGCCGTCAATCATCGTGGTAGATGTAACCATCGAGGCAATAATCGCTCTTGTGTGCTCCCGGTGGCCCGAGGAAGGCGGCGATTATCGCTCTGGAAGCTTCTATTATTACATTAATGAACGCAATGTTATCTCAACAAAGTCTGGGAAACAGATGTATATGAATAAGACATTGCTCCCAGCCGGGGGGGGGGTCAAAAGACATAGTTTGGATCTTACAATATTTTATACATTAACAGCATAAATTATCTCTACTATATACTACATTCCCTCCACATTTTTATCACTAATTTAATTCATGTTCTTACATTGCTAAATTTTTCATTTCCTACATCTACCCACCACCATTAAGGGCCTTTCACAAACAGAGTATTCCTTTACACTATTCTGTACCCTCCTTGTGAAACACCCTGATATCCCTTATTATTCACATTCACATTTGTCTAGATCCACAGGAATTATCACTATCTGCATTCCGTGGACCACAGAGTGGATCAGTCTAATAAAGCATGGAATTAGCTAAGGGAGGAATAGGATTCCAG